AACTAATTGTTGAGAGTATTATTTGAGCCGCTGAAGAGCATTAGAAGGCCGCGTGAATTTTAAAGACGCGTTAGGAAAACGTTATATAGTAAAAAAAAACATTTTTTTATAAGAAAACGTAAGTTTATTAACAATGCGAATATTATTATTATTATTATTATTATTATTATTATTATAGGAGCCGAGACAGCACAAGGACGATGCAAAGGACCTGTTTTGAAATTTTCTTTGAATATTTGCCCAACTTTTTCTGCATCCGCTAACTCATTAAATTAACTAATAAATAAATAATATATATAAATCCACCGATTGGGAATACGACTGTAGATGTTAGAGTTTTGCCTTAACAATCTTTACACTGTATTTAACTCGTTTCCTGAGAAAATTTAACGAGATCCGAGCATATTTTGACACATTACATTAACAGAGGCCATTTCGGTTATTGGACGCTGCTGAAATCACACTTTCCGCAGTACATGAATCGTGACAAACAACAGACGATGGCTTTAAACAATATACTGCTTTTGAATAAAAGGTTGTACTATATCCAACAAAACATGAAATTGTCCTGAATTAAACCGAAAACAAATTTTAAATGAAGAAATATTTTCATTTCTTATTATTTACAAATCTTCTGGATTCCTCCTGCATCGGTTGTTGATGAATTGAACTTGCTGACGTTTCGTCAATCATCCTCTTGGCTTCTTCAGAGCTTAACTGTCTGGCTTTCTAGCCTGTACCTTTGTACCGATGTCTCGGATGACTGATTCACATATTGGTGAATGGTAGCGGTTAAGATTGTTGGGTTGCTTATTGAACTGAGGAGGCTTTTACTGGATGAAGATCCATTTATCAAAATAAATAAGAACTAAAAGTTCAGATTTTCACGAAATTATATATTTTGACATGACAATTGTTTCGACAACACCGTGTCTTTATCAAACATTTGATGCATTAAGGTATCGGTCTGTGTACGTAGGTTTCTGCAAAAACAGAATGACGCAATGTTAAGTCTGATTTTCTATTAATAAGAATATCTATGAACGGGAGATTATTATTAGTTTCCAATTGAATGGTAAAAAATATGTTAGGGTGTATGGATTTTAAATAGCTAACCATGAGGCTAAATACCAAAACTATCATCAACGGAGCGTTTCCATACTCGCAACTTTTCAATTACTACTGTGGTAAATGTATCATCGCACGAACTATTTAAGACGGAAAATCAGTTCTTGCAACTTCGTCCTTGCCCCGCGTATTATCCCAAAAGAGGAAATCAGTGCAAATGTCGAGTCTATAATAAACGAACTGCCATTCCGAACAGCTAATGAAATTCGATTTGCAACTGCAAAAATCCTTAAAAAATCCAAACCCCCTAAATCTAATATTGCAAAGCCTGAATGCATTGCTCTAAAATCTCTAAAATCTAATCCCAACATCGTAGTTCTGCAGATAAAGGAAATGCTGTGGTGGTCGTGAACACAAGTAAATATCAGGAGAAAATTCAAGATATTCGTACAGACGGATCCTATCGTCAACTTAAAAAAAATCTTACACCATCTCGGCAAATAATACATTGGAGAGACCGGACGAAAAATATCTAGGCTCAAACTACGATAAATAAACTCATCAGCAGTTGCTGAACACAATCACGAAACCGGACATCAAATTTTGCATTTTTTACAATTTGACATTTATTCCATGAAACTATAATTCGTACAGTTCTTCTACCAACGAAAACGAAAAGTCCGAGATTCTATATAGGAATATAAGCAAACAAACCTTACACCAATATGTGACTCAGTGGTCCGAGACGATCATGTTCCTCTTTTATTTCCGCCCTCCCTCAAACAATATATAAGCAGGTACAGAGTAGAACGCGAATCAGTTTCAGTTAACGTCCGAAGAAGCCTACAAGACGACTGGCGAAACTTCAGCAAGTTAAATTCATCAACAATCAGAAGATTTGTAAATAGTATTACAGTAGCCTCTTAGAGAATTTTTTTTTCCATTTTTCATAGTTCGTGAGAAAGTTGATGGGAAACTTCACTGGAAGCACAAGATACCTCGCACGAGGTTTCTGGTACGGGTTTTCACAGGAAGGAAAGAACTTATTCCTATGCCGTTCCATAAACTTTGGACTTTGCCTCTTTTTTTCGTAAAAATAGATTGGTAGGTGTACGTTGCTCACTTTGCAACAATTACAATTTATGAAAAATTGCTATTACAGCGATTATACTGTTCACATTTTGCGCCTTTCAAAAACTGCTTCTAATTTCGTGACTCTTGAAAAAAGTTTTATCTCATTGTAATTTGTTGCTATGCGGTGACCGAATTATTGCGCTTTCTCGAGATTTTTTGAACATTATCTTTTTCAGTGAACACACGTGCGAAAAAAGAACAATTAACACTTTCCTCCTTATCGATAAGAAATAATTATTTTTGAAACTTGCCTTGCGAATGGCTGTTCATAAACCGCGTTCTGATTTCGATGAAATTTTTACATTTTTCTACCAAAGTGTGATAAATTCACATTTTTTTACAAAATTTTAAGCTCTTGCTATAAAAGTGTATATTTTTAAAAAATATTTTTTACGATATTTTGTTAGAAACTGTAAGTGTTAGTTTTTTTTTGCAAAAAACAGATATTTGAAGAAATTGCTTAAGAAAATTGAGTCATATATATATATATATATATATATATATATATATATATATATATATATATATATATATATATATATATATATATATATATATATATATATATATATATATATATATATATATATATATATATACATAAATTTACGAACTAAAAAAGTGTGATTTTAAAAACTTTTAACGAAATTCACACTTGTTTTTTTTTAAATGTTATAAGAAATGTGTGAATAGGGTCTTGGTAAAAAATTGCAAGCTCATAATTCGGTTTGCCAAAAAAGCACGAGTTTTGTAAAAAGTTTGTGAAGTGGGATTTCACGTTTTTTTTTTAGAAAATATAAAAATGTGCGAATTCAAGAAAAACGGAAAGCGGCCCTTCTATGATCTCGCCCTATGCCAAAAAAAATTATAGTAGCTAATCCTGTAACAAGCTTAACGCGATTAATATCAGAAACAAGCAAAATGCTTAGAAAGTAAAATGTAAATTATACTTTGTTGTTTGTTGATTCTTATCAATTTTGAAGTGTTTTTATGCATGTATTTATTCGATTTTAAATACGTAGGTGTAAGGAAAATATTCGTAGGGTGAAAACAATCATGTGTAAAAATCTATGTATATCATGATGAAGCAATTCTTATTATCATTCTGAATTTTATTACAATATAGCGAGTGTACTTTTCAAATGAAGGATTTCTCAAGTTTTTTTGGAAAGTATCGTTATGGTTAAATAACGATATAGCCCCTTAGCACAAAGAAAATTGAAATTATTTAATTATTTTGAACTCGATAAAATAGAAATTACGACGGTTTGGCATCACCAAAGCGATAACAGAAACTAACCAAAACAAACTAACATTGAAAAAAATCAACCGCTTCCACAGTGGACCTCCTCGGGAACGATTTAGCATCACCAAGACAATAACAGAGGGTAACAAAAACCAGTCAAAATTGAAAAAAATCAACCGCTGTTACAATGGACATCTTCCACGACGGTTTGACATCACCCAGGCAATAACAGAGGCTAACCAAAACAAACCAAAATTGAAAGAAATCAACCGCCTCCACGGTAGACCTCCTCGGGGACGATTTAGCACCACCAAGGCAACAACAGAGATTAACCAAAATCCATCAAATTTGAAAAAAATCAATCGGCGCAAAATGAGCAAAATTTAAATTTATTTACCATACTTGCTAGAACTTAATAAAATAACCAAATAACCAAATAACCAAAGCCATAACAAATTCTAACCAAAACAAACCAAAATTTAAAAAAATCAACCGCCTCCACATTAGACCTCCTCGGCGACGATTTTGCTTCACCGAGACAGTAACCGAGGCTAACTTCTAGATACGACAAACATATTCAGTTAATTACGTAGCACAATTCACAATTTTAATATGTCGGGATAAGTTTATAATTTATAAGTATCCATAATATTAACAATTGTATATATCTTGTGTAAATAAAAAATTGACATTACCTTGTACGTATGTAAGTTATTTTAATTCGAACGTTCTGCGTATCTAATGAGCAAGAATTAAAAAAGTATAATGTTTTACCAATAAAAACAAATATATAGGCTGGGATTTTTAAGTTTTCCAAAAAATCTCAAGGAAGTTAAATTTTCATTCTAACTTCTATGGGCAAAAATGTTGTTTACGTTGAAAAATTTAATTTTAAATTGTTAATGTTTTAATTGTACGCTGCTCCATTATCATAAATAAATAAATCAAAGTCGATGTATTTATTGCACACGTCTCAAGTGCATCAAGGCAGATATCGAATTCGAGTACAGAATTCTTTTATCCCATATTTCTCTGATCCCTGTTTACAAATCAAAGATAAATTACATTAGGACGCATTAACATAATAATAATAGTGATAATGTTTATATTGATTTTAATAATAAAATTTAAAAAAAATGACAAAAACTCCTTCCGTTCAGTAGCTTTATAACTACCCTTAATTCTCGTTCAGTTCCCATGCTTTCTCAACATTTGTTCGACGGTTTCCGCCTCTTGCCTGCATCATCTGTACTTGCTTTTCTCTTCTATCCAATTGGCGCAATGAAATTTCACTACCAACTTTCTTTCCTCTACACTTTCCCTCGCTTGTCCCTTTTGGTCTCCTCTCTTACTATATATCTTCGACATTGATTTTCAACTCCTAAGAACCAAGCGCAATCTCCCTCTGATATTCTGATATCTCGTCTCTTAGAATTGCCAAGACATTTAACAGTGCAAAATTATTTTGTTCCTTTACCAAATAGGTATGAGGCAAATACTTTTATCATTCCATTAGAGTCAGAAAGTAAGAAGAACACTTTATAAACGAGGTTTTATTAACTTTTAATGAGAAAATAAAAATTGTGTTTTCGACGCTACGAATCGGCCAAAACGTCTTGAATAAACTGATCCCAATCGGCTTGCCATTGATCTATGGCGGCACTTTTCTGATCGTCGGTCATCGCGCTATACTGGATAGAGTTTATCGCCAGTTGCTTCAGAGTCCTGAGGTCGTTGTCTCTATGCGTCATCCCCATAAACACCAGATACCAGTCGTAATTCACGCCTTTGGTGCCCCATATGGTCGGATCGTCCTGGCAAATCACCACCGGTAGATCGTTGGCGATCCAATAGTTCGCCGGATGATTCCTAGCTTCGTTGACTAGAATGCCAACCAAATTAGATACGGCGCTGAGTTCGATCGCTATGCCCTGCGACTTGACCATTTCCATTAGGAGGGAATGTTTTAAGATGGCGAACCCGTGCCCTATTCTTTTCGTGCCCAGCAAAATAGCATCGTAAAGGTTCAAGTCTGACGACTGTCCGAACCAATCGGTTTCGCCGGCGTGATAGAAGACGTTTGTCTGATTTTGCAGTTGCTGCAGTTGCGGAATGAAATCGATCAGCGGATTCCCTGGAACAAAAAAATTTGATGCGTCCTTGGTTTACCAATATAGGAGCAGCAGGACTGCAAGATTATACAAACCTAAATCCTCTTGGTCCGTTAAATCAAACCCAATGACGAAATCTGGAAACTGCTCCTGGATTGCCAAAATGTCGTCGACGTACTGTTGAACGACAGAACTGTTAACCTTCCTGCCGGGACCGTAAATAAACCTGGTTCCCAAAAAGTCGCTAAAATTGCTGATAAACTCCTGAGTGGTGTCGATATACAGTTGCATGAGAGTAGTGCGATCGTACGTGGTGTTCTCCAAGTCGTAGAGTTGCGGAAACATTCCTCTAAACTCCAAGTACTTCACGTTGTCCTCGTATAGTTCCCTCAAGGCTTGATAAAAGCAGTCTTTGAATACAGGTTGAAACGTAATCAACGGCATGGACGTGGCAAAGGTGCTTCTGAACTTGTTCCAAACGTCGTCAGTGTCGTTGTAGACGACCTTTGGATTCGGTACGACCAACGTCAGCTGACTTCTCAAACGTGCATCGAACGTTTGGCTATTCGCTCTGGCTTCGGAAATGAGAATCCACGACGAATTCGGCTGCTCGCCGACATTAAAGAATCCGACTTGTATCTCGTTCGGGGGATTATCGAATACGTACAAGTTATCCGCGTATTTGAACGTCATGTTGAAGAAAAAGTCATCGGACACCATGAACAGATCGTGAGCGTGCAAGGCGGCGCCTTTGGGAATTTTTTTCAGGAATTTAAACACCTCGTTATTGGTGATGTTGTCTCTGACTTCGAAAAACGGTTGAGCGGGCAAAAACCGTTTGGGATTCGCGAAACCTTCATCTAACTCTTGATGCTTCAATTGCATAAGTATATCGTTTACCTGACTTTCGTCGTCTGTGAGCGTAAGTGAGTTCCCGATGCTTCTGCTTAAACTGCTCTCTATTAAGTCTGCTCTGTCGGACAAATAGTCCGCACTGCAGAAAAGCACATAGCCCAGGAAAATCAGTATTCTCATTGTCGTGCTAAGATTGGCACCGATCGTATTTTCGGTCACGTTTTTATATGCAAATCGAAAATATTGATATTGATAAGCGACCACTAATTGCGACACGGAATACTTAGCGCGAATGCAAGATTAAAGGTCGATTCACGCGATACCTCACAACTGCAAGTTCCAATTTTTGAGTATGACCATATACCGTTTCAGTTACAAGAACGTTTCTCCGACCAGCTTATGTAATTCTTCTTCCGTGGTATCCAAAGGCACCAGATTTATCGACAATTGAATATATATGGGATAGGACAGGTAGGAGGCTGAGTCGGTTACCACATTTTATATAAGATGTACATTTACGTCAAAAGATTAGAATAACCTCGAAAAACATACCTTGCCAAAATAAAGAGTTACAGTCAAATGTGATGTGGGGGCGCAACTTACTGTTGTATTTTCCAAATCATCGATTTTTTATGGAAAAATGTGATGACAATATATTCCGGCATATCATCCGTTCGTTTGTTGAACTCCGACTGGAATCTTGCAGACGTTTCGCCAAGATCTCACTTGGCATCTTCAATGCTCGCACTCCGAAAACACTTCGAATACTCGTGTTCGGAGACGGTTGCAAATAAGAAGCGTCACAGAATTTTGTTATTAAGTTTTCTTCGTTTCTATGTGTTTCTTGAAAGTAATTCGAATTGTCATTAATCTCCTTCGTCAGCATCCCAAGCACTTGGTGTTGCAATTTTCATATAAGAATTGAGTGGAGTAAACCAGCCTTAACGTTATCGATGGAAATTTTGTACTTCACAATTGCAGTTAAATAAAGAAGAAAGAAACATCCGCTCACCAGTTTCACCGAAATAAAGCCAACTATAAAATGGAGATAGATGAGGGAAAGCATTCGTTTTTTGCTTGTAACGGAAACGATGGTTGAACCTAAATCTTATTCAATGCCAAAGTTGGAGCTAACGGTTTGTTGCTATACAGCTTCATTTTAGTTCAGTTACAGGTTAGCAAATCGAAACAATTGATTTTTGTAGCCACTTAAACTACTAACAATAGCTGATAATATTGTGTCCGGTTATCTATTAAAATCACTTAACATATACGGCTTAACATGTGCTCCGTTCCTATATAAATTAATAAAAAGCTGTGAAAATTTTTGATCTTCAGTCAGCATGAGAGGCTTTGTAGTGTTAAGTTGCTTCCTGGTGTTGTGCGCCGCCGTCGACTACGAAGCTGACAGGAAATTACTGATCGACGTCAGTCTAAGAAGAAGCATAGGGTACGAACTACAGCTCACTCCAAATGAAATCGAGGCAGACGACATATTTTTGAGTTTAAAATACGCGGAGCTGGATGAAGGTTTCGTAAATCCAAAAAAATTTCTGGTCGCCCAACACTTCTACGAAGTCAGGCATAACATTACCGAATCTGAGGTATTCAAATTCATCAAAAAGGTTCCGAAGGGTACCGCGTTACACGCGCACGACCTATTTATGGTTTCCGGTGACTTTTTCTTTAACATGACGTATAAATATGCGGACAACTTATACGTTCTCGATAATCCTCCGAACGACATACGAGTGGGATTCTTCAATGCCGGCGAGCAGCCGAGCTCATGGGTCTTGATTTCGAGCGCCAGAGAGAACAGTTCCACATTCGATGTCCGATTAAGAAGTCAACTCACCTTGGTGGTTTGGAATCCGAAGCTCGTTTACAACGACACGGATGACGTCTGGAATAGATTCAGAAGTACCTTTCCCAGCACCATTCCGCTGATCACCTACCAGCCGATTTTCAAGGACTGCTTCTACCAGGCCTTAAAAGAACTCTACGAGGACAACGTCAAGTATTTGGAGTTTAGGGGTTTGTTTCCACAGCTCTACGACTTGAACAATACCGCGTACGACAAAGACACACTCATGCAGCTCTACATCGACACGACGCAGGAATTTATCAACGACTTTCCTGATTTTTGGGGAACCAGATTCATTTACGGACCGAGCAGGAACGTTAATCAGTCCGTGGTTCAGCAATACATAGACGACTTCTTAGAACTACAAGCTAAGTTTCCCGATTTTGTGGTGGGATTCGATTTGACCGACCAGGAAGATAAAGGTAACTATTTGTACCCCGCGTTCTTTAAATCGAAATTTTAATTTAAGATATATTTCAGGTCGTCCGCTAGCAGATTTCATACCGCAACTTCAACAGCTCCAAAACAAAACCAACTTCTTTTTCCACGCGGGCGAGAGCGATTGGTTCGGCGAACCCACCGACGAAAATCTTTTTGACGCCATTTTGCTCGGCACAAAAAGGATCGGACACGGGTTTGCACTTATAAAGTACACACTCTTGATGGAGATGGTAAAGGAAAAAGGGATAGCTATCGAGCTAAGTCCGATCTCCAATTTGATCGGGATCTTGGTGAACGAGGCTAGAAATCATCCGGGCACTTACTACATTGCCAACAATCTTCCAGTTGTTATTTGTCATGACGATCCGACCATCTGGGGCACTAAAGGTGTTAACTACGATTGGTACGTGGCGTTCATGGGGATGACCCACAGAGACAACGGCTTGGGCACTTTGAAACAGTTAGCTATAAACTCCATTCAATATAGCGCGATGACGGATGATCAAAAATCGGTGGCCATGAACAAATGGCAAGCGGACTGGGATCAGTTTATCCAAGAAGTCTTGGCAGAGGATAACCAACTTGTTATAGTTTAATCATTCCTGTGATATTTTTTTGTTACCGAGTTAATAAACATTGTTTTTATTGTTAAATTTTTAATCCTATAATTCAATCCTTCAGGTTGCGGAATAGTTTGTTCAAGTTGGTGATTACTATTGACCTTTTCACGTGCTATGAAAAAGCACAGTATAGGGGTATCTCCTATTTCGGATGTTAATATTTGAAAGGTGATAAATAAATGAGCTAAATTATTTGGTTTGGTTTAAAAACGTACGTGCAAAATTGCTTAAAAAAAAACGAGAAATTGTATTTGAGGCACGTTCAAATTTTATCTGCGTATTGTTCATAGCCAAAAATAAGTAATATAGGAAAAATAGGTCATTTCCATGGGACATTCTACCCGAAGGTTATTGGCAATGTTAGATATAAACACATATATCCCTTGTAAATCTAAAATTCAATATTGTTGAAATTTAAAACATCGCAAAAATAAATTTTTTATTGAACTATTATATAAAGCAATTAAAACGGATTTAAAGTATGCAAAAAATATTAAATCGGTATTTAGGACTCTCGCCCTAATCATGGTACAGGCAAAACCAAACTTGGAATCCAAGTTTTAAATGCATCATTTCATTTATGTTAAAACGTTGAAAAAATATTTACAAAATCTTTCATGTCATAAAAGTTTTAAAGTCACCAATTGTTCACTTATTCCTGTTAGCTCCGAAACTACAGATGATATTCAATACCATTTTTAAAATCGCAAGAAAGTAGGGTTATAATGTGCAAACGATATCTTTGTATCGTCAATAATAACGGAGTTCTGTTTTTTTTTTCATTTTATTATATCTGTTACTGTCAACAAAGAATTTTCATGGTTCCCGGTGTTATGAAAATAAATTTTTCATGTAATTTCCATTACCTCATGATTTTTTTCAATGCATTGTGTCTTTAAACACATACATATTTTCATGACTTTTTGTGATTTTCTTATTTTTAAGCAGATGTAGTTACTTTTTATGATTCGATCCTTTCTATTTTGTAGTGTTTGGAATTAAATAAACATATCGCTCTCTGCTTGTGATATATTTATCAACAACACCATCTAAGAAAAAATTGACAACGAAATTTTTCATATAGTCAATTTGCGGTCTAGAATAGATATCGTTTTCTATGGGTGAACGGTATTAATGCAACTCGCACAATGGCGGCAATTTCGAAATGTGGGTCGGCTTCATGTTAAAAATGTCTACTATTGTGCCAGTTAATTTTTCGACGAGATCAGTGACGATAACGTATGTATAAGGGCCTCTTGTGAATTTTTAGGCTTTAATTCAAATTATCTGATATAAAAAGGCCAAGTTGGTCCCTCTCTAGCTCTCCTTTCATTTTTTTATTTTATCTAATTGTATTTATTATTATCCACTTTGCGTCAAATTTCTCTTTGTTAAGGTTTCCTAACACGTGATGATAACAGGAGCACATTTCAATTGTAAGCAAATACACGCACATCAACAAGGAAGCAGATTAAATTCAAGTGGATTATTTATACCTTCAGATAAGGGCTTTTAATGTAAAACAATTATTGACTCAGGTCACCGTTGAGCAGAATCAGGCCTTTGAAAATATAAAAATACAAGATGTTTTGCATTATAACATGTAGATGGAAAAAACAGCGACTAAACTGAAATAAATAAAATTTCCTACGAGCGCCACCTTTGGGATAAATTTAAATAATTTAAATTTTTCCTAACTATATTTTAAAAGAAATTACGCCAAGCAATTCCTAGCCTGTTAAAGAAAATATTCATGAAAGTTTAGTACAGTAATTGTGTTAATTCTACCTTGGCCGAAATACATACAAAATGTGTCCTGGGCCTCTGAAGGCACGACATCAAAACATTCTTCAAGCCTACGAGAAAGATCCAGCATACCATTTACCATCTTTCTGCAGTATGGTCTATGTTACAAGTACCAAAAGACTGATGGAAACTAGACTCAATGGGCATAAAGCAAGCTGCCGACTTTTACAGATTGAGGAGTCTGCAATAGTTCAGCACGCTCTAAGCAGCGGAACATCAGTCAGTCAGTCAATCGTCATCCACAAATATCCGGATAACCTCTATAGAAAGTAGAAGAACCTCAGACTCAACCCGATTTGGAATCCGAATCTTAGGAATGCTAGAGCTATGCCGATCGATTTCTCAAGGCTTTCCGAAGCGGGACAAATATCAATCCAGTCGAGGTCTCGACGTCAACTGAACCTGTCCATCATTATAAATACGGCTTGCGCAGGAGGATTCGTGAGTCTCCGTCCAGCATCGGAGATGAAAATGAGCAATTGCAACCGACGAGCGACTTTAGACCCGAATCAGCACAACAGTTCACAAAATATGCAACAAAAAGTTATAGCTTCATGGTTAGAAACTTATTAAAATAATTTTTATTTTAATTCACCTGGACCTACAAAAAATATTAACATATTAAAATCAGAATAATATTTTATTACGTTGAAATAGCCAATTATGTCACAATTTAAGTTTTCTGTATATCCACTATATTAAAATTGTGTGTGTGGGACAGCCAAAAGACACACGTTCTAAAGTTTAATGAGTAAAACATCCGTTAAGCATGATTTCAAGTACTAACTGTTGTGTTATAACGTTAACTCTATGACCTATATTAAAAAACTAAAAAAATACTCTTACGTACTAAAAGTATAAGAAAGTATTTTTTCCTTTTCTATACACTATACTATATCCAATATTCAGTAAAGTAAGCTTAGTTTGCAGTTTTTCAAGTATAATATTTGTAATCTTATCCGTCCTAAAAAGTGTATTGAATGATGCATTGATTTCGAGTTTATTTATAGGACAATGATAGTCAAAATGAAAACTAAAGAAGTTGACTGCAGAAGTAAAACATTTTATTGAGTCGTAATTATCATAGTGACGTAGACGGTATTAGAGGTTTCAAGGTTCTCATAACCTAAGCATTCTGTTTTGTATTGATTTACAATCGGATAATGTAGAACATGATACAGAAATAATGGAATTAGTTGTATTGATAACCCAGTTGTATTCAATTGTATGGGAAATAATATTAAATTGATTTTTAATAAATATTATTTCTCACTTTTTGACTTCCACATGTTGAGTATTGCAAAATCCGAGCAAATGTTCAAATGACACAATACAACAATTAATTATTCATTAATTAAGGGAATGCGCATTTTTCAGTTAGATCGAGATAATGCACAATACTTAAAAGCCGCTTTTGTCGATTAGTATTTATAGACCGAAAGTCAAGCTGTATATAAACTGTCTTATCTGAGACAAAGCAACCGAATTTTTCCATGTCATTTTTTTTGCGAAGTATTAGGCTATTTTAATAGCAATCAGTCATAAAGTATGTACTCATACATTTTATAGATAAAAAAAATAATGGCAGTTTTAACTGTCATTTTGTTACCAATAAATTTTTTGACTTGAAATTTTAAGATCCGACTTTGTTTAATGATTTTCAACATGGCTAAATTTCAAAATATCTCCATGAGGAGGTTGAATCTGATGGGTCAAAAAAAATAGAATTGTGTCAAAGATGCATTTTTCCTTCACCGACCATGTATATAAATATCAGTATATACCGGATGTCTAGAAGAAGTCCACACTACAATGCAACGTAATATAAAGAAGCAGCAACCAGCAGTCACAATCCGTCGACCAGCAGTCGCACCCAGTTTACAGAATTTTATTACAATTCTCTTGATAACATACCAACCGAAGCGCTGAGATATAATTTAAAATAAAGTCAATGTTGAAAATAACAGTTTCATAAAGACCTTTTCATATTCTAATTTTGAAAATTTCGTTTTTGAATTCATGAATTCAACAATTTTTGTTTAAATATTATCAATTGTTTGAATTTTGTGCTTTTTAGTCAACTTTGTGTTTTAGTTTTTACGAAGGATTTTCTGAGAGTTTCTACTACGTTCTTTTCCTGTTTGGTTGATAGCGAAGTGTTGACATTAATATAAAAAATTGGTTTATTTTATCTACAAATTTTTTGTGTTATTATAATCTGTTCAGTGATTTAGTATTATGGTGCTTTTCTTTTACCAAAGTAAAAACATTTTTTGCAAAAATTTTAGATGTTCTATCCATCGTCGAAGTGGAAAAAAAAGTAACCTTTGTATTCTATGGAGTAAACGTTTTGCCAGCTGTTTTTACAGAATTTGAACCTCTTTTCATTATTTTTACTTCATGAGCAAATATTACTTAAATATTTGTGCCGCGAAAAGAGAAATAACCTAATAAAATATTCAGGAAGTCGTAAGAGTCGATCAAGTTATCGGTTAAAGTGTAACCCGTACTCACGCAGGTAATTGGGGCACTATCGAAATCATATTTCATCGGTACAAGGCTTTTAGGGTTCTAATAGAGAGGGTAAAAGGGCAGCCGCTAACGTTAATACCCTCACCATTATTGGAAAGACCCTCGATTCACTTTAAACTTTGATAGTGTTTTTAAGTGAATTACCAGGGAAACGCAAAGCCTTCGGAACACAAACACGTACGAGGAAAAAGTTTCCTAAAGTCGGATACTTATGAAATTAGGTAGCAGGTTAATAAAATAAAAAATGATAGTATGTTATTCACTTTAGCTACGAGTTTGTTTAAGAAAATTATAAATACTTCTTTTACAAGCGTCACAAACAAACTCGTGACTAAAATGACGTTCATAAACAAAGTATTTTAAATGTTTTAAATTTAAGTATTATCAATTTTTTTCCGAATCGATTAAAAAAGAGTTTTGTGTATGAAGTAATTATATTAAAATTCTTGATTGGTGCACAAGAAAGGTAAATTTCGTTCTGTTTTTGGGTATTTTCATTTGTAAATTCGGGACTAGAATGTTCTATAAGATTCTAAAGTAAAGGTGCAGAAATTTTCAACGGTTTTTCGAAGATTAAAGGTGCGCATACGCTTATCCAGAGCTGTCGATAACGTCGGCCATTATCGCCGTAAAATTAA